TGTGAGGATGTCTCAAGCGAGGGCGCCGGTTTGGGATTCGTCGGCGGATCCACGGATCCACCGGATCTGTCCGGAAACGGTGCCGGAGGCCGCTCTGGGCTCCTCTGGGCACCTCCCCCGGGGCCGGTTTTGTGAGGATGTCTCAAGCGAGGGCGCCGGTTTGGGATTCGTCGGCGGATCCACCGGATCCACCGGATCTGTCCGGAAACGGTGCCGGAGGCCGCTCTGGGCTCCTCTGCTCCCCGCGCCGGGGGTGAGGATGACGGTAGTTCCACAGAAACTCTTTCGAATTACCTAACAGCTTTTGCTGATAGGTTTCTAGTGGTGTCAAAAGAAAGCATCTCGACGCCCCAGGAGAGTTTGGGCGGGAACCGGATGCGGGAACCGGACAAAACTTGCAGCCCTAGGAATAGTTAGGAATCCTGAGGAATTTTTAGGAATCCATTCCCAGAACACCATTCCCAGGCCACATTTTGAATGCCCAGAGCCATTTGTAGGCCACTTCGTGTTCTTCGCGTTCCCAGAACACCATTCCCAGGCCCCTTTTTAGATGCCCGGAGCCAACTGTAGGCCACTTCGTGTTCTTCGTGTTCCCAGAACACCCTTCCCAGGCCACATTTGGAATGCCCGGAGTCAGCTATAGGCCACTTCGCGTTCTTCGTGCTCCCAGAACACCATTCCCAGGCCACATTTTGAATGCCCGGAGCCAGCTGTAGGCCACTTCGTGTTCTTCGTGTTCCCAGAACATTATTCCCAGGCCACATGTTGAATGCCCGGAGCCAACTGTAGGCCACTTCGTGTTCTTCGTGTTCCCAGAACATATTTTGAATGCCCGAGCCGAGGCAGGCAGAGGCCGAGGCAGGCTGAGGCCGAGGCAGGCTGAGGCTGAGGCTGAGGCACGCCGAGGCAGGCTGAGGCTGAGGCTGAGGCAGGCTGAGGCTGAGGCAGGCTGAGGCTGAGGCTGACGCAGGCTGAGGCTGAGGCAGGCTGAGGCTGTGGCTGAGGCTGAGGCTGAGGCTGATGCAGGCTGAGGCTGAGAGGCTGAGGCAGGCTGAGGCTGAGGCTGAGGCTGAGGCCGAGGCAGGCTGAGGCTGAGGCTGAGGCAAGCCGAGGCAAGCTGAGGCTGAGACTGAAGCTGAGGCAGGCTGAGGCTGAGGCTGAGGCTGAGGCAGGCTGCCGCTGAGGCAGGCTGAGGCTGAGGCTGAGGCAGGCTGAGGCTGAGGCAGGCTGAGGCTGAGGCTGAGGCTGAGGCTGAGGCTGAGGCTGAGGCTGAGGCAGGCTGAGGCTGAGGCTGAGGCTGAGGCTGAGGCAGGCTGAGGCTGAGGCTGAGGCCTGAGGCTGAGGCTGAGCCGAGGCTGAGGCTGAGGCCGAGGCAAGCCGAGGCAGGCTGAGGCTGAGGCTGATGCTGAGGCAGGCTGAGGCTGAGACAGGCTGAGGCTGAGGCTGAGGCAGTCTGAGGCTGAGGCAGGCTGAGGCTGAGGCCGAGGCAGGCGAATCCTTCGGAATCCTTAGAATTCCCTAGGAATCCTTAGGAATCCCTAGGAATCCCTAGGAATCAGGTTTCCTAAGGATTCCTATGGATTCCTAAGCATGCCTAAGGATGCCTTAGGAATCCTTAGGATTCCATTGGATCCTAAGGCCGTTGCCGCTGCGACTGTCATTGCGACTGCGACTGCGACCGCGAGAACAGCAGAATTCTACAATTGGATTCTCACCTGAATCTTAAGGGGAATGCTTCCAGATATGCTTATACACATCGCTGTTAGGTTGCTTTGCCATGATATTTTTTTAGGAAGCAGAATCCACTACGTGGTGCGATACAAGATGTGTTATCTATGTTATGCAATCTACGCGGTGCAATCAATGTTATCTTATCAATGTAGTGCATTTTACTTGGTGCCATCAATATGGTGCAATATATGTTGAGCAGTCTATGTGGTGCAATATACATCGCGCATGGTGCAAAACATGTAATGCAAGACGGCGGGCGGCGACGAGGCGGCGACGGCGGCAACAAGCGCGGCGACCGACAGACAGGCCCAGACGACGGGCGGAGACGAGGCGGCGACGGGGCTGCGACGGCGGCAACAAGCGCGGCGTCCGACAGACAGGCCCAGGCGACGGGCGGCGACGAGGCGATGAAGGGGCGGCGACGGCGGCAACGTAGCTGCCAGAGCAGCACACCAGCCCAGACGACGGGCGGCGACGAGGCGGCGACGGGGCGGTGACGGCGGCCACATAGCCGCCAGAGCGGCACACCAGCCCAGTTCGTTAGAAAACAAGTGTTCGCGCCTCGCCTATCCCCACCAGCCCATTCAGAAACCCTGCCCATGAGAGCTGACGCGAGAAAGGACGAAGGACCAAGAGGCCCATATAGTGCAACAAAGCGGGCAACCAGGGTGAACGAATAGATCTCTGGGAGGTAACCTTGGAGGGCCTCTTCGGGCCATCCCTGGGGCCCGCGTGGGGGCGAGGGCAGGACGAGGAGGAGGAGGAGGAGGAGGAGGAGGAGGAGGAGGAGGAAGTGGAGGAAGTGGAGGAAGAGGAGGAAGAGGAGGAAGAGGAGGAAGAGGAGGAAGGGGAGGAGGAGGAGGAGGAGGAGGAAAACGACGACGACGACGAGCACCACAACAATGAGAAAGAGGAGCAAAAGGAACAGAACGACGATGAGGGCAAGGGCGAGGACAAGGAGGAGGAGTAGGACAACGAGGACGGAAAAGAGCCAGCGAAATTGCCTCTTGGAGCCCTTCTTGGGACTCTTTTGGCAGATCTTGGGGTCCTTTGGGGCTCTCTTGGAGGATCTTGGGGACCTCGTCAGGCTCTCTTGGGGCCGTCTTCGGGGCCCTGGAGGGTCCCTTTGGGGCCATCTTGGAGACTATCGATCAGAGTAGGGGGGGGATCAGAAAGTCTGAAACTTACGACGTGCCCTCCAGGTTACTTTACGCGCCGCTACGCTATTCCTGGGTAGGCCGCGCTGCCCAGCGAACGGGGAAGGGGAGACGAGAAGCAGGCTGACGACGACGAACACTTAGGCGGGAGGCCGGGGCTGGCGGGGCGGGCGGGCGGGCATGGTGGAAGGGTGGCCCGTCAGAAACTGCAGGGAGCAGGAGGAACTGGAGGCGCCGGCTGGGCCATCTTGGAACCAGCCCCCCCGGTGCTGTCGCGGGGTCCGGCGGCCGACGGGCATGGCGGGGGCTGGTTCCCCTCGTCCCCGTGGGCCGCCCGTGCCCTGCCCCGCCAAACACCGCCCCCCGTGCAGCTCACCGCGGGGCTGCTAATGGGTGCACCCCCCGTGCGGCTCTCCAGCCAACGTCGGGGGAGGCCGCCGGGAGACCCCTTCCCCGGGAGCCCATGGCTATAGGCTTCTCCCTGCCTCGCGTTGAGGGCCCGCCGGGAGGCTCCCGGCCGCGGGGAAGGGGCGCCCCGCGGGCCGAGCATTCCTGGGCTGCACGCCATAATTGGCGCCCGTGCCGCGCGGCCTGGCGGGGCGGGCGGCCCAGACGGGCCTCCTCCAGGGCGGGGAAGGAAAAGGAAAGGGAAAGGGAGGCAAGGAACAGGAGGAGAGGGGAAACAGCCGCAAGCAGGCAAGGCAGGGAGCAGAAGAGAAGGGAGCAGGGAGGGGAGGGAGACGAGGTGGAGGGGAGGGGAGTCAGTCAACAGCAAGCACACAGGCCGGGCCAGGGGCCAGCAGAGAAGAGCCACCCGCGAGGAGGCTACGGGCTACGGGCCCCACGGCGGCAACCTGGGCGGGGTGGCCGACCGCGCTGCAGCTTGATGGGGGGAGCCTTCTGCGGGATCATCCGCCTCCCCGCCGAGGAAGGGACGGCGCGCGTAAAGGGTCGCCAGCGCGACGTTGGCGAAAAATCGCGGGGGGCGTCCGTGCTGCCCAGCATGGGCGGGGAGGTGGCGCGGGGGGCGCTAGGCAGCGCCAGGGGAAATTCACACGACGTCCGCCGTGGAGGCAACCGTGGCCGCGGCCAAGCGGGCCGCTGTTACCCCCGCTACTCCAGCTTGCGTCGGGAAGCGCCGCAGCACCGCCCGCGCGTTCTCCTCGCCCAGGGAGGCAGAAAGTCGCCGGGCGTGTTGGTTCGCAGCGCGTCCACCGTCCTCCCCCGTGGCGTCGGCCACCCGGCTTGCCAGGACCCGGAAGGCCCTCCGTACCTCGCGGCCCCACCCGCCCGCCGCCGTGGGCTGCTCCATCATGGGGAGGAAGATGAAACCCTGGGCCGCGCACTGCCGCGCGGGGTCCTGGCGCCGCCTTTTGAACTCCTCGTACCGTTCCGTCGCCGCGCTGGGCGAATCGGCCGACGCAGCGAAGAAATCGGCGCGCAGTCTGGACGTGGCGGCAAAGTTCCGTGCGGCCGCCGTGCCTTCCGAAAACATATGGAATGATTTGGTGGCCCCCGTCGGGTCTTTGGAGGCATGTCGGGAACTATCTTGAACCATCGTCGGCTATGTTGAACCACTTGGGAGGCCATCTCGGAGCATCGGAGGCCATCTTGGAGCCAGTTCGGGCCATGTTGGACGCTCTGACTGGTCGCGGCCCGCCCCAGCAAAACCTCAGGGAGTGTGTGTGTGTGGGGGGGGGTACGCCTCTTAAAACGGAAAAAAAAATTGGAGGAGGAAATGAAGAATTTGCTAGGGTATTTTAGCCCAAAGGGTTGGTGGGATTAGGAACCCCCAGGTGCAAACACTGTTAATGGAATGGGATGACGCCGATCTGGCGCCGACTAGCGCTAACTAGCTTCGATTTGGCGCCGACCAACGTCGATCGGCGTCGACTCGCAAGTGCAAACAATCAAGGGCATAACGCACCTACCCTGGTTTACGAGGCGTTGTGCGCTGTAGCTCCTGCGGGCTGACAGGGTGAACCCCGCGTGATGTGCGGCGTCCTGGCGGCTCTTTAGGCGTTGGGGGTTCCCTGGAGGTCTACAGGTGGGATCGTTTTTTCACCCTTCAGAACAAATGGTATGAGAGGCCCCCGTGAGTTGCTGAAGAAGGCGGCGGCCTTGTCCGCAACGCTGGCGGCGACGCTGCCCGCCGCGCTCGGGCCAGCCGCGGGCGCGGTGCCGCTCCCCGTGGCGGCGCTGCCGCCGCAGTGGCCGGGGCAGATGGCCGTGGCAGTGCCCTTCCCGGGGGTCACGGTGGCGATCATGAATTGCGGCGCGAGCCGGGCGGCGGGCTCGGAGTACTGGGAGGGGACCGCGGCGACGGCGCCGGTGACGACCATGAGTTGCGGCATGAGCCAGGCTGGTGACCCGGAATACGGGGGGGGGACCGCGGCGCCGGCGCAGGAGCCGCACCGGAGAGGCCAGCGTGGTCTGACGTCGTTGTCATCGCGCCCTTCCCGCGCCACCCGATTGACCACGAGCGACTTGTCGTCGTCGCGACCTGACCGTGCAGCGCAGCGCACCGGCCGCCCGCGCGGTGGCGGCGTCGTGACCGCCCGGGAGCAGCCCTCCAGCCAGGGGCCAGCGTTCGGGCGGCTGCACAAGCTGCACCGCGACGCCCAGGACAGCGGCATCGTCAACGAGGACAGCCGGACGTTCACGAAGCAGTCCTATCACGGCCGCCTCTCGGTCATCACGGAGGACCAGGTGCACTCGAGCGGAGTGTTGCGGTACGCCATCACGTTTGCCAGCGGCGAACTGAGTAGCGCTGACGGCGTGGGCTTCGTATTCTCCGACAGGCTCCCGTGCCCGAAGAACATCCAGAAGCTCGTTTCCATCTTCGTCAACAGGACTGGGCGCATCTGCATGCGCGCCCTGTCGAACGTCGTGAGGTACGACGTGGGCGTCAAGCAGCTCGAGGTTGGGGACTGGGTAGAGCTAACTGTGGACCTGGATGGCCGCATTGCTGAGTTCACGGTTTGGGACGCCGAGGACGGGTCTTCTTCATCAGCGAGCTTCGCTTTCGGGGCGGCTTTGAAGCAGATGGAGCACGCGATGTCCAACTTGCCGCAGGCATCGTGCGGGTACGTCGCTTGCGTCGTGAAGAACGTGGGCGTCACCGTGGCCCTGGGGTCGTGACCGACATCTGGCCGTTTGGATGGCGGCTGGGGGAAGGGGGGGGGGATGCGAGGAGGATCGAGGATTAGCATGAAGAGAAAGAGAAGGGAGGATGTATGCACAAGGAAAGGAAGGTCAACGTGCCTCCTGAGCACGCGTGAACATCCAGCTGCCTGCGGCAAATCCCGCCACCGTACCAGCCCAGCATTCTAGGTGGCGACTGTTCGAGGAGGCACTGGAGGCCGTCATGTGTAACACCTCGTGTCCCCAGGGTTGGGAGAGACATGGTGATGATTATGATGCTGATGATGATGATGATGATGATGCTGATGATGATGATAATATGGTGTTGATGATGGTGATGATGATGATGATGATGATGATGTTGATATTGGTGTTGATGGTGGTAATGATGATTATGGTGGTGATAGTGCTGATGGCGCTGATGATGACAACGGTGAGGATACTGATGGTGATGATGATGGTGATGGTGGCGAGCATGATGATGTTGATGCTGATGCTGGTGACGATATTGGGGATGATGAGACTGGTGTTGATGGTAATAATTAGGGTAATAATAATGAGGATCGTGATGAGGATGCTGGTTATGATGATGGTGATGATGAGGATGATGAGATATAGTATGACAATGATGGTGATGGTGATGCTGGCTATGATGACGATGCGGAGCATGATGGTGAGGATGATTATGATATTGAGGATGATTGTTACAAACATGATAATGTTGATGGTGATGACGGTGATGAAGCTGATGCTTATGATGGTGATGATGGTGATGATGGTGATGCGAATGAAGATGTTGATAATGATAATGGTGGTGGTGGTGATGGTGATGGTGATGATGATGATGATGATGATGATGATGATGATGATGATGATGATGACGATGTTGACTTGGTGATGGTGATGCTTATGCTGCTGCTGCTAATGATGATAGTGATGATGGTCATGGTAGCGTTGCGTGGTGGTGGTGATGCTGATGGTGTTTTTGATGATGCTGATGATGAAGATGATGGTGATGTTGATGTTGATGATGATGCTGGTGATGATGATGCTGATGATGACGATGACGATGATGACAGTGGCGTCGACGACGATGACGACGATGACGAGGAAGGGACGAGGAGGCGGAGGAGGAGGAGGAGGAATCTGAAGATCGTCACATGTGGCACCCTGCGTCTTCACTATGTGAGAAGCTCTCATGGAACTTGTTTGGGCCGTCTTGGGGCCGTCTTGGCCTCATGTGAGGCAGTATGGGGGATGCCCTCGGGGCCCTCCTGGGCAGTCGTCTTAGGGGCCCCATTGCGCCATCTTGGGTCTCTCTTGGGCCCCTCTTGGGTCGACGTTGGGCTCTCTTGGCTGTGTGGTGGGTGTTTGGCGGCCGTCGTAAGGCCGTCTTGGGCAGTCGCAGGGCCTTATAATGCCATCTTGGGTCCCACGTGAGGCCCTCTTGGGCCATCCTGGGACCCTCTTGGGCGCCGCTTGGGCCATCGTGGTACCTCTTGGGCCACCTTGGGGGGGCCCCGTGGGCCGTCTTGGGGCCATCGTTTAGGCTTGTTGGGCCGCCTGCCTCCCGTGAGGCAGTCTTGGGGGGTCCCTTGGGGCCCCCTCGGGCAGTCTTGGGGCCCTCTTGCGCCGTCTTGGGTCTCTTTTCGGTCGACTTTGTGCCCCCCCCCCGTTGTCCGTGTGGTGGGTGTCCTGGGGCCGTCGTGAGGCAGTCTTGGGTCGTCGAAAGACCTTCGGCGGCCGTCTTGGGTCCCACGGGATGCGATCTTGGCCGTCTTGGATGCCTCTTCGGCCATCGCTGAGCCCCTTGGGCCGTCTTGGGGCACTCTTGGGAGACTTTTGGGCCGTCCTGTTGCCATCGTGGAGGCTTCTTGGGCCGTCTTGAGCTGGCGGACGCCCGACAAAAGGCGAGAATATAGTATTATGCTTCAGGCGGATCATTGGTGTTGGCTTCTTCGGACCTTGTAGGAGGTCCGCTTGCGGCCCTTCTGGGCCCATTTGGAGGCATCTTGAGCCGTCTTGAAGCCATCTTGGGCCGCCTTGGAGCCATCTTGGGCCGTCTTGGAAGCATCTTTTGGGCCATCTCGATGTCCTTGGCTGCTTGTCTGAACCGTCCTGGAAGTTCGGGGCGTGGACACACCGTTTTTTACGAGTGACCGTGGCGTTAGGAACGCAGGCCCACTGGTTGTTTACCAAGGATCGTGGCCTCGGGATGGGGGGGTGCATGCGGGGAGATGCGGGTACCGGGGAGGGGGGGGTCCCTTATGAGAATGCAGAAGCCCTGCCAGGCAGACCTTGGCATTCTTCTACGCCTCAACGTGCACAGTGCACGGAGGCGGATGTGCGCCACCTTCTGCGATCTAATGTGCAGTTGGCGCTTTCGTGGCACTGTGTGCAGCGGCAGTGCTTCATTCATCGTCCTAACGTGCTACGTCAGGCGAGTACTTCGCACTGCTGCTGCGCATCCTGCCTGTACTCAGCCTGCTGAGCTGTTGCCTTCCTCGAATGGCATTGGGGCCGTGCTTTATTTAGACTCCTTGTACAGGCATTTGCCGATGGTTGACCAGTCGAACTCCTTAGGACAGCAAGTATAGTACGCAGAACAGGGGGGCCGAGTAAAAAACCAGCGGGACCAGGACGAACATGCATGATGCAGACGTGGGAATTGTCCAAGCAAGGAGGACCAGCGTAATAATGTTATGAGCTGATCGATTCGAGCAAGCGCTCGAGACTTTTACGATACTGGAACCACAAAATGCAAATTGTGACACCATCGACGTCTTGTACAGGCAAGTCAACTACGTCGGCCCCAGCCGCGATATATAGAGGCCATGAACTTTGTGGCCACGCGTGTTGAAGGTGCATCGACGGCCTTACGCTTCCAGGGCTCGACCTAGACGGTGTGTTGGCGATTTCGTGGACCGTTTTCGTTTTGATATCGTTTTGCAGCACGGGCGGAACGAAGGCAGAACGAGGGAAAGCAATAACAATGCGAAAACGGAGAACAGTGTTTAGTTCGAGCCTTGCATGCTTCTCTTGGCAGGGGCAGCGGGCCGTCATTTTGAGCGCGTCCAGTGATCTTTCGAGCCAGACTTAGAGCACTGCGATGACGAGGAGGGGTCGCTGTCCTCGATCACAATTTGTCTCGCATGGCTTTTTTAGGGGGGGGCGGGGCCAGACTGTGCATGGCCCCAGCCGCTTGCGCACTCCCGTGGAGGAAGAGCAGCAACAGAGGGAGGATGGAGAGGAGTTACGGTCGGGGGCTTTGGGATAGCGTGTCGCTCCGCCGATGGTGGCCCACCACGCTTTGGCGCCACACGCTACCTGCGTCCCAATCCCTGGGCGTCATTGTCCCGAGGCTTTACCGACCCCTCCCCCTGCGAAGCGGAGCGACACACTATCCACTCGCAAGGCATGGCGTGTCGCCGGGGCCGATGCCGCGGCACCCTGGGCAAAAGTTCTTGGCTGTAGCAGGAGGACCTGGGAGGAGTGCCAGGAGCGAGCCCTGGAGGGGACCCCTGGAGCGGCCATCGCCGAGGCGCCGCCGCCGGTGCCGAAGGCCAACTGCGCCCCCGTGGCCAGCCGAATCCGGCCAGCTTGGAGTCAGCTGCCCGATCTGTGGCCAGTCAGAGGCGAAGTCAGCGATGGCGGTCTCAGGCGGCTCGCCTCTTATCTCGGCCTGCCGGATGGGGTCGGAGGATCGCGCCGCATCGCCGATGCATCGCCGATGCGGCTCGATGTGGAGCCCCATTTTCTCCGCGCTGGCGTCGCCGTTCCGCCGACGTCGCTGATGCATCGGCGATGTGGCGCGATCCTCCGATTCTATCTACTCGGACCATCTGGGAGGCCTCTATCTCAGACGAGCCGAGATTCGTTTTTCGCCAGCAAGAGCCGAGCGGCCGCGCGCTTCTCACGCTGCGTGGTCGCGGGTTGGGGAGGCGGAAGAGAAGGTGGAGCAGCAGGGGGAGTTGAACGAGGATAGAGAGGACATCCGCTGGATGCCACGCGTGGCTCGCGAGAACACATAGCGCTCGGAGGGCGCCCAGGAGGAGCCACTCTTCCTCATCTCTTGACGTTGCACGGATAGTGATCTGGGATCAAAGCGTCTAGCAGAGAAAGAAAAATAATTGATTGAGGCGCGGTGGCTAGTGTATGGATGGTTGGCAAGCGCGGGGCGAGGGATGGCAAAGTGAATTGGAAAAAGCAGGTGAACCCGTGAGGGCTTAGAGTAATTGAGCCAGCTGCCCGTCTGGAGGGGGGGAGAACACGAACATGAAAGTACCATAATCAGCCGGAGGAAACCGAAAGGGGATAGATCGAACTATTATAATGTTAGCCAGCGTGGACCCCAAACAGGAAGTTTCCAGTGTGGATGCGTAAACTATGTGGTGCAAGCTATGTGGTGTAAGCTATGTGGTGCAGTATACGTGGTGAAAGCAAGCTAGAGGCGGCAACGAAGCGGCAGCGGGCGGAACACCTAAGTGCAAGCACGGTTTTGGGGGCGGCAACGCGGCGAAACCTCGCCAGACCCACCCAGCGCACGAGGCGGCCACGAGGCGGCCACGGGCGGCATCTTGGCGAAACCTCGCCAGACCCACCTAGCGCACGAGGCGGCCACGAGGTGACCACGGGTGGTGACGTGGCGAAACCTCGCTGGACCCACTTCACGAGGTGGCCGCGAGGCGGCCACGGGCGGCATCGTGGCGAAACCTCGCTAGACCCACCCAGCGCACGAGGCGGCCACGAGCGGCAACGTGGCGAAACCTTGCGGCGCCTACCCAGCGCACGAGCCAGCCACGAGGCGGCCACGGGCGGCAACGTAGAACATCCTCGCGGCCGCTGGAACGCGGTGTCGGCGTCTAACTTGTGAGACTCGTGGTCATGTCCCTTCCGACTGCCAGAATAGCCGTATTCTGTTACCGGGTTAAATCTAAGCTTTATTTGTGGAAGTGAGTTGTGAGATATGTAGGTGTGTCAAGGGTTAGCTCTACCCTGCAGGGAGCACCCTCAGTAGGCTGGGGAACGTCGAGTCGAGGTGTAGGTGCTCAAACGCGCGAAGTGCGTGGCCAGCCCCGGAGCTCGTTCCATCTTCCGTTTTCCAGCGCCGCTGCAAGTTGCTTGAGCAAGAAATCCGTCCCGAGAGGTTTTTTTCTAAGCGTTTCCCATTACGTTTGCTCTGAAGCTCTCCAGGAGCTCATTCGGAAGCTCCTCTCAGGAGCTTCTCGAGCTTCGTCGACAGGCATTTGCACGCCCTCCTGGCGCCCTGCTATCCAGGCTTTGGACTACACAAGTGTTCAAACACGCGAAGTGCTTGGCTACAACTCCTGAGGTGAGGCTGGCATGCTTACCATTTCAAGCGAGCTGTTAGTGCAAGGAAGTGTGGCATACTCCCTTTGCCCCCCTAGGTCCCCAGTCGGCGTGAGGGGCTCAGGAAGCGACTTCCGATTGAGTCATGCGCGGCACGCGCACCATGCCTATATTTCCAGGGGCCCCCTAATCAGTCGCACGGGGCCAGGGGAAGGAGGGGGAAGCTTGCAACGCCGCGGGATGTAGGACCGACCCGTCATTGAGCTGCGGCGAGGATAGCGACCTACAATACTGACGCGGTTAGCTCAACGGAGAGACTAGAGGACACCAGTGTAGCGTTCAAGGACTGGGATCTCATTGTATTAAGTGGGACTCACGAGTGGGCGGGAGCAGTGGCCGTGAGAGAAACAGAACTACCACAACATTGGGCTCTGCGGTTTTGGGGAAGGAAAGGCAGGTGGGTGACGAAAACATGTGGAACGTCCTTTTTGTTAACGAGACGTCTCCCACCCGAATGCCTACACACGACGTTGAGTCCCCGCGCGCAGATACAGGGACGGGCATCGGGCACACGACTGCAGACGAGTATGATTCACATGTTGATTGTTGATATATGTGGTGTACATGCCCCCCACAAATGTCAAGCAACACGACACCATTATGCAACAAGTGATGAGATGGATTGAGGAACGGTGCGACGGATTAATGTGTGGGACGAATCCGGTTTTGTGTGGTGACATGAACAGCGGTGTTGGTCTGAGCAAGCCCCCAGATGGCATCACGCAGCACAGCGCATGTCGTCATGCTGGCCCCAGGAATCCCAAAGCTGAAGATGAACACGGAAGAGCGATAAGACAGTTCTGCGAGAGAAACGGCATGTGCATTGCGACCACATACGCAGACATTGATCTGACCTACGACGGGCTTATGGGAGATGACTCCAGGACAGAACACATCCTAGGACCAACAGGTGCCAAAAAATTGGTTGAAGACTGTACTACCTTCAGATATGTTGCCAGGCGACTGTAGCTGATACAGAGTAGGTGGCACCGTGACCACCTCCGACTCTCACTACACCTCCCCAGACACATCCTACAGAGTCTCCCTTCCCGACGGAAGCGCAAAGACAAAGGGAGCCAACGCTGACTAATTGATGGTGTGCTTGGAGAGGTACCGGGAGGAAGGGCTTCTATGCAGCAGGTGACGCAGAGCTTGCGAACGTGGGCAAGGGGAGGTGGGAGGAGGCAAAGAGCAGCACCCCTGATCGAGTTTGGGAATTGTTCGGGTATGCGACAAGGCAGGCACTACGTGACACGCTTGGCAAGGCCCCCGCATAAAAGACGAAGACGGACTGCTGGCGAGAGAGAAGAGGATGGAGTACACGGCCCGCCGCCGAAGGTTACGCTCCGGCAAGGATCCCAGCTTGACGGCCCAAGAATACGACGGGGCGCAGGAAGAGCTAGCCGAAGTCACGGCCCTCCTGAAACGTTCCAGAGAGGACCACCTAGCCAAGAGACGAACTCAGCTGGTAGATCAAGTCTGGGAGGCCCACGAGCCAGGGAACTCCGTGGACACGCATCGGCTTCGCATTGCACGCAAAATGACAGGCAGAGGGCCAAGATGGCGGTACTATTTTTCTCGTAAGACATACTGGGGCAGCGGATGCATTGTCACGCGACCTTGGAGAGCACCCACGCGAAAGGGGGGTTCGGAGGGCCAGGGATGGATGCGGATGTGACGAGAGCCTCTTACGAAGAGGCCAACTCTGACAAGATGTCACTGCCCCTCGACGGATACAGCCTCCACGCAGGGATCTTTTCAATAACCGATGCGGAAATCCGTCCGGCGAGCGAGGAAACGACGAGCTTGGCTTGCATGGGGTCTGCCTATCGAATGCACATGGACGCCGCTGAAACCATGGGCACACAAGGGGAGCCCGACGGCAGCCAGCGACCCAATCGAGCAGCAAGCCAGCCGCAGAGCGGAGAGATGGAAGGACGAAAAGAAGCTAGCAACACCTACATGCCTCGTCAGGAATACATTGAGACGCTGTTCAGACGGTTCGGGCATTTGTCAGAAAACGCGGTCTTCAATGCTGTGAGGGCACTGCCGGATCTCGGACGCCCCTGCGTCTGGGCCGAATACTTCACTCCAGCATTGAAGTAGCGCCCGCAACGCAAGCACCGAAAACCAAGAGCGTGCACTTATCTTTGACGAGTCTTGCGTTGCCCTGTCTGAATATAAGAAGGGCAGACACCTATTAGAACGACTGGGAGGGATAGCCGGTGCCGAGCTGGGCAGATC